CCTAGTCTACAAAGTGAGTTCCAGGCCAGCTGGGGCTACACGGAGACCCTGTTCCAAAAAAAAAAAAAAAAAAAAAAAAAAAAAGACATTTGTTTAGACACCAAAGAAAGGTACAATTCCTTGTTGCACTGAACTACCTGTACCAATTACTCGTTTTTCTTTTGGATAATCAAAGACTGGTTGTCTTCTGCACAAGAAGTATGAAATTTCTCCATGACCTGAACCACAGTAGTAACCTGACAAAAGAAAAAAGCTGTTACATTTGAGCGAAGATAAACTTAGACATGGCAAACAGACTTTCAGTGTCTAGATGCGCAACTTTATTTCCAACTATAGAAAATGCATGGACTGCTGGGCGTGGTGGCGCACACCTTTAATCCCAGCACTTGGGAGGAGGCAGAGGCAGGTGGATCTTTGTGAGTTCGAGGCCAGCCTGGTCTACGTAGTGAGTTCCAGGACAAATGGGGCTACAAGGAGACCCTGCCTCTCAAGTGCTGGGATTAAAGATGTGTGCCACCACGCCCAGTGACTCTGACAGCTTACTAATTGTGATCTTGGACAACTTTCCTCTACAGACTGAATATTTTATATTTTCTTTTTTTTATTTTATTTATTTTTATTTTATATATGAGTGTACTACCTGCATGCATGTGAGTGTACCTGTATTGTGCAGGTCAGAAGAGGGCTTCGGATTCCCCTGGAACTGGAGTTAAGGACGGTTCGTAGCCGCCATGTGGATGCTGGAAATTGAACTGGGGTCCTCTGCAAGAGCAGTCAAGTGCTCTTAACCACTGAGCCATCTCTCCAGCCCCTGAATAATATATTTTTTAAAAATTCCCTCTATAGAGCTTAAAGGGAGGGGGGAGTTATTTTCCACAGATTGTAGGCAAACCTTCCTGTTGAATAAATTCTACTCATTGATAAATATTTTAAAACACTTTTAACCATGGACATATTATGAAGTTGAATGCAACATTCACATAAAAAATTTAAAGATGAAACCCTAGACTTCAATGAAACTTGATGGTTTTCCCCCTTAAGTTGCCCCCAGCTATACTCCCAGACTTCTGAAACATAACACTCTCTCCTCCAGTCTTTTATAACTGTGCTCCTCATCTGAACCACAGAACAAAGAAAATCATTAGAGTGACTGTTTCCCGATTTTCCTCAGACTGTACACAACTAGCACCATTCTAGATGTCGGAAAGAAACAGATATCTAATGGCATTAGGGTTCACTTCTCATGGAACTCTAGTGATGTTTCTAATCAGTAGTGTACTTCACTGGGAAAACGGTAGAACACTGGCTGTTGAGGAACCACTGAATTAAGGAAGTAAAGGTTCCAATTTGCATTTTAGACAAATCATTATAACACAAGGACAGGAGTGACACTGGGGAGAGGGAGAGGGTGGGAAGTAGAAAACGAACTGAGAACCTTCACGGGTTCCAGAAAGCAGAAGTAGACCCATCATATATATCACAGCTGCAGTGAGTCCAGTCCTTCAGCACCACGTGTTGCTCTCTCCATATTGTTTTGCACAGTTACATTCACAAAGTGATAAAATGTATGTTTCCTTATTAAAGTGTCATGGTGTGCGCGCACACACACACACACAATAAAAAAAAAATTTCATGCCGGGCACGGTGACGCATGCCTTTAATCCCAGCACTTGGGAGGCAGAGGCAGGCAGATCTCTGAGTTCAAGGCCAGCCTGGTCTATATAGTGAGTTCCAGGACAGCTGGGGCTATAGGGAGACCCTGTCTCAAAAAGACCAAAAAAAAAGTTTCATGAAAAGAGCTAAATGCTAGTGCTAGTGTGAGAAATGTAAACAAAGTAAAGAGAACCAAAATTTATGAGAAGTTATGAGGTGCCAGAGATACAGCTCCATGGTAGAGTTGACTAGCATGCACTAGGCCGAGTATCTCCAGTATTATATATAAATAAAGGTTCTGGATGCAAGAAAGAGCGAAATGTCCTAACTTTATGGAGTCAGTAGAGGTCTTTTCCAGTC